ACACAGGGTGTGGGACCTGGTTCCCCCTGTCTCTCCAGATACGCGACAACCGTAGTGTTGTCCGTAGCCACACAAACCACCTTGGAATGCAGGTTCTCCCGAAAAGACTGCAGAGCCAATAGAACAGCCCTCATCTCGAGCACATTGCTGTGCTCCGAGAGCTGTTCCCCAGACCACTCCCCCGACCGGCAACGCCCGTCGAGATAAGCTCCCCACCCTGTCATGGATGCATCCGTGTACAGGGTCATAGTGGGAACCGGCTTGGACAAAGGAACCACTCGTGGTTTAAACATGAAGCCCTAGCGGGCTTCATGCAATACGGCTGTAACCTATTTGCATTCATACCGGTATGAAATTTAATAAATCGCCGCCGTTCAATCCTATTTAAGATATTTATTGATAAATCATTATATAATTAAATGTTACAAAATGAGTATCATCATTTCTACAAACATGTATTATGTATAGACAAATGTATCTTTCGACTTTGGCTCTCTAGCTCAGCATTGCTTTCCCTGGTCCGGAGTTATCGTTTCCTTTGTGAACGTTTACCTGAACATTGCTTGGTCATGGCGGCTCAGAAACAAAGGGAACTGTTGTTATGTCGTATATATTTATAAAGTTAAAATTCAGTTTCTTTGTAAGTCCGTTTACCGACTGAAAAGTGTCTGATTTGAATAATATCTCCTAAACGCTCAAAGCATATCGCGTATTCTTAAGAAATATACTCCAAGAGGTTTATAACATAAAACAGATGTCTAGTTATAACAGCTAAACTTTTTGTGTTGGCATTTATATATTAAATGAGTGCCAACTGGACATAAACTAATCTAATCTATCACACAGGGGTAATGTAGACAGAGCAATCTCGACCGGAAGATAATATCTTTTGTAATTTCAAATCGATGCTCTGCCAAGAATTCAACCTTCTAAACTTTTATTTCGATGGTTGAAACTTCTCCGTCCGCATCACAGAGGAGCGAGTAATTCCCCTCCCCCGATTAAAAAAATAAATTAACTGACTTTACTGAGACAGTGTATCAAAATTCAGATTAATGTTTGTAACAGATATGCTTGTTCAATTAATAAATAATCCATATACCCTTGGCGGGTCAGTGGTATGCAACGTTACATATAGTACGTCATTCATTCAATATTCATATTTTATTGAAGAAAACAATCAAAGGGTTTGGGCACAAGTTCTGACAACTTACTAGGCCCTCTCTCGACAATACAACACACAGTAACTAAAGATATAAAACGTGATGACAAAAAGTTCAGCATATATACATAAACAATCTACTAATTAACATGAAAACAGCAAGGAGAAAGGGAATGAGTGAGTGAAATGGTGAATCACGGGACAGTAGGGGAAATGTTCTGGTTGCATTAGTTGTCCACTAGTTGGCTTCAAACCTCTTCGTTGATTTTATAAATGATTGTACAGCAAGTATGATGTTGACATTTGTTTGGGATGGAAGATCTGCATCTCCTTATATAAGAACATCCAGTTGGGGGTGCTGGTTGAACACCAATGTTGAAAAGAGCATTTAATAATCTTATTCGAGGATTTGAAAAGTGTGCACAGACAAAAAATAATGATGTGAATCTTCTTTACCATCATCGCAATGACAGGTAGGTGAGCCACAAATACCTACACGGAATACATCACTTTTAAGGCCACTACATTAATGTCTAATTCGTGCTAAAAGAACCGAGAGGTATCGGTTACCGACATTCAAATATTTTGGTAAAACGCGTGGTACAGGTAATATTTTTATATTGAATGTAGAAGATAACGAAATATTTTAACAGAATTATTAAGTCTTTTCCATAAATGTATTGTAGGGATAATGATCTTTTAAGAATATCTAATCTACAGCGTGGTATTTGATAGTTATCGTGACTACGAGAATCACGATGAAGATCATTTCATCTGATAGGAAGCAAATGATGATGATAGTCTGGTACTAATTTATTATGCATTTTATAAAAAGTAGAAAAATTAATATTTTCACTCCGAGATTTCAAATGTACCCACCCGGTTTCAAAGTAAGATGCCTCACAAGAGGCGACAGAGGATAAACCAGATACCACTCTAGCTGCTTCTAACTGCCCACCTCTAAGGCATTTGACAGTTCGACGGAACAACCATCCCATATACAAAAGACAAACTCGAGAGTTGGTCTAATGAAAGATGTATATATAGTATTTAATGTATCCTTACTAGCTTTATGTTTCAATTGTTTTATTGCAGAGACTTTAGGAGAAGCTGTTTAATTAATTGATACACATGGTTATGCCATTTGCAGTTACTACTGATAAACATTCCAATGTGACAATGAGCGTTCGTAAAAGAAAGCGGTTCGTTATTATAAGTAAGGTTAGATTTCATATCAAGTGGACTTGATAAGAAAAAGAAAAAAACTTTCGTCTTAGCGGAATTAAACTACATCAGCAACTGATCAGACCAGCCCTGTAAGCGTTGACTATCGTGGTTTAGATTATGTTCTATTACATTCAAGTCTGCAGAAGAATCTTGAAGAGAGGAATCACCGGCAAAGAGCATAGCAAAAGTTGTTAAAGGATCAAAAGTCATTAATGTAGAATAAAAACAACAGAGGTTCAAGAACCGATCCCTGCGGTACACCCGCAGATACATATTAAAGTATTATTTCCATAGATAACAGATTGTTGACGATTCGTTAGATAACTCGAGAACCAGGAAAGTAAGTTACCACCAATGCCATACTGGCGAAGTTTGAATAAAAGTCCATTATGCCATACTTTATCAAACGACACGGAGAGATCGCAAAAAACAACACACGATTTTTTTTTCTGTCAATGGCTGAAACAATATTATGGTAAAGCTCGATCAGCTGGTAAACTGTCGAATGACCTTGCAGGAATCCAGATTGATATTTATAAAAAAATATTTTTGTCCCTTGCAAAATTGAAGACATATTTGAAAACACACTTTTCTCTTATTTTAGAAACACAACTTAACAAAGAAATAGGTCGATAATTTACCGGAAGGTGAGAGTCACCTTTCTTAAACCAGGATAAAACATGAGCTTTCTTCCATTCAGTTGGAAAGGAACACTCGCGGAGCGAACGATTAAATAACAGTGCTTAAGTAATCGATAATGATCTTGCCGAGCTTTAAGCATTCGGTGACTAATTTTATTAGGGCCGACTGCTTTACCAGTACCAAGAACTGACCAAACATCAAATACATATTTTTCACTTATAACGACATCAGTTAAAGAGTTCGCACATTTTTTTAAGAATTCATGTAAATTTGCATCAGAATCATCAATACTAGATATGGTAGAAAAGTTGTCATTGAGTACTTCAGTTTTTTCTTGGTCATTAGGAGCAACTTTTAGAATACCATACTCAACATAATTAAGGGGAGGAGGTAATTTTTGTGGAGAAGACATAAATCTTTTAAGTATTTTCCAGGAATAGCGGGGTTAGATTTCCTTGATTCATCAATGTGTGACTCAAGATTATTATAAAACCGTACTTTAGCTTCTTTTTTCATATTATTTACTCTATTTCTTGTTTTCTGATAATTTTTCCAATCTGTACGATTTCCAGTATTGAGAGCCTTCTTTCTAAGTCTTTCACGAATCTGACAATCTTACGTAAAATTGAGTCAAACCAGGGTTTGTCAGACGGACGGATAGTTACGTCATGGTTAGGAATAAATATACGAAGTAATTCTGGTAAAGATGTTAGTAGCGGAGTCAATGGACTGAGCAGTCATAACAACTGCTTGCCAATTAACGCCATCAAGCAAATTATTAAGATTTTCGAAATCTGCTCTTTTGTAATTCCAAACTTTCCTCTTGTAAGCACACTTGCAATTGTACAAAAAAAAAGCCATAGACAAATAAGTTGCTTTGTGTCGCTAATCACGTCATCCACCCTAAACACGCCACTATTGAGACATTTCGTATTGTTAGAAATGAAAATAGGATCTAGTAGTGTGGCTGAGGTAGGTTCCAAAACAATGTCCCGGGGGTCCTACTTTAGAGCTAAGGTTTCAAAACAATGTCCCGGGGGTCCTACTTTAGAGCTAAGGTTTCAAGATTAGAATTAGGACGATTAGGGTCAACATTGAAATCACCATGGAGAAGGATTCACGATACCACTCTAAATTACGATAAAAATCATTAGAAGAATTAGGCGGTCTATAAAATAGACAGAACATGATGCTTCTATTATGACAATGTACTTCTGCCAAGATAAATCCAGTAGATATAGGTTCAAAATCACGCTGTCTAGTAGTTTTTATAGTACCGGAGAAAAAAAATAAGAACACTCCCTTCATGAGCATTTCCATCATTACGGAAAAATAGCGAAAAAACGGGATTATTTTAACTGATCATTCAAAACTGAATCATCAATGTGTGTTTCTGTGAAACAAATATCAAAGGCCGTGATAATACTGTCTAAATTATATAACTTGTTCCTAATACTTCTGATATTTACACTTAAATCAAATCTGTTAGGGCCAGGACTCATCTCAACATCTCCGCTAAGCAGGAGTACGATAAAAAGAAAAGGAAAATTAGTACTGTAAAAATCAGATTCAATTTATACATCGTTACTATTGCTCTTAAGGCAGTAGTAATATGGACAGTAATGTTAATATTGTAACAATGTCGAAAGAAATTCTTAATGAAGTAGTAGATAAATAACATTTACCGTAGACCAATCCGATCGACGACCTGTAAAATACAATGGAATTACCAATAATCAGTAAAATGACAAACGGACGATCTCATGTACATTGCGTCGATCGATTTGCAACCCAACTTCGCGAGTTGATGTACAACATGGATTCCCACATGGTGTTCGGTGTCAGGCCAGATGTGAACATGTGGTATCTTTCAGACAACAACTCCATATCTTGACGCTTTGGTGACCTACTTATGCCATATATTGACTTGAAGACACGTGCTTATTATACACATACAATTTAAGTTATGCATGCAGTGAATCTCGTCAAACTGGGAAAGGCTACCACATTTGTATACAAAGTATAAGTGTCTGACATCTACCTAATATACCCATACCATACTCACACAGACTGACGCGGTTCTCAACTGACAACAATGACATCAAAAGGTGAGGATACAGCCTCATTTCACATACGGTCTTAAATAACTTAACTAACCTATTGTCAGGCTGTGTTCCTTTTGCTGATGTTGTTAAGCCACTGGTGATATAACCAATGCTGTTACTTCCGAACAGAAATAAACCTTCATCATTGGCTTAAAGTCTGGAATAATTTATTGGCATACCCGTGTGTGATTCTGCTTGTTTAGTCTCCTCCGTATTGATAAACCAATCGACTTACTCATCCCGTTCACGCGTGCAATTGATCATGCAATGATTATGGCACGAAAAACATTATTCAGATGTCGGATTGACGCATAATCAAATGGCTCAGGAAGACGTAAGCCGGTGGCTCTTTGGCTTGTATGTTAATTTAGTATTCATTTATATAGCATTTGTACTGTGTGACTAGTGAAGGCAATTTTCGGTCCTTCCACTTTTCGATGATGCATTGATGCTCAGGATATGAATTATGTGGACCTGAGGTATCTATGTGCCCATTTAGAAAGATAAGTAATTACCGGGTATGATTTATTTTCACTTCTCCATTCCTGTATCACCGCGGTACTTTTACTAACCTATAAATGTCATCTCTTATCTAAAAGCACGGACTTAGATAGTCATCTAATATAATTCCCTAAAACAAATTATGTTTCTATGTAGATATTGTTTAATGTTTACTTTCCTGGCGAAAGCTATACCAGTATTCGCGCTTCATACATTTATATTTAACGTTTCCCAATTACAAGGACTAACAATGACATCTGAGGAAAACGCTTTCGTTTCTAATTTAACCATATTTATTGTTAGATAAAATGATGTATATTTAGTCACAACTGTTAAGAGATCACTGTATTATTTAGGGTGGTTTTTGATAGGTCCACCTGAATCATTGCTAAAGTTAATATTTACAGCTTTGTTACGTTGAATAATATGTTATTTTATCAATGTTTCCACCTTGCCTTTTCTGAAAGCAATGCTATATATCATCCCCAATCCAGGAACGACAATTCTGGGTAGAGATTGTATCATCCCACCACGGTGTTAACAAGTGACACCTAATATATAAACTTTTACTCTTTTATCTCCAAGTCCAGGTATTTTTAATACTAAACTTATTCGCGTACATATTATTAAGAATAACGCTTATGTATTATTATAGAATTTTCACGAAATGTTCACTTCCTCTCATTACAGGACTGCTTGAACGCCTTAACAACGGTGAACATGTCCTTGTTGCGGAAGGATACATGCTTGAAGCCGAGAGAAGAGGCTACCTGAAGATTGGAGCTTTTGCACCGGAAGTGGTTTTAGATAACCCAGATGTTGTTCGAAGCATGCATCGAGAGTTTGTACACGCCGGTACGGATGTAGTGGAAGCGTTCACGGTAATACCAATACAACTAATAGTATACTATCAGAAAAGGGTCAACACTATTTCGATTAAATGAACAGACTGTTTAATAAAAAGCTTAGAAAAATTAAAAACGTGCAATTGTTTTTAATGATCGAGTCGTATTTCATGTACCTTGTAAACACGTTGGCAAACCGAGAAAAGAAAACATGCTTACGAAATTTGACCATTTCAGTATTATGGACACAGAGAAAGGCTAAAGTTGATGGGACGAGAGGAAGATCTTGAGAAGCTAAACCGAACGGCTCTCGGGATCGCGCGAGAAGTGGCAGACGAGACTGGAATTTTGATGGCTGCTGGACTTTGTAGCACTACCATTTATGAGGAAAATAAACCGGAAATAGATGAACGAATTCGAGCCATGTTTAAGGTAAATCCAACGTAACCAATAAGTGCATGTTATCTAAAACCGAACTGATTATTGGTCAATACAACGTAATTGTTAGACTGGCGGTTCTTTACCGCTAGTATATTAACTTCATTAATACAAAGAATTTTATCATACACGGACTTCTTAAGATGTATTCCTTGTTAACCTTGACTTTTGTAGATGATATAAAACAACGTAACAGTAGTGGTACCATAATGTTTAATTGTTCATCGTTCAGTAACTTTATCAAAACAAGTTATTACTGTAAATGTATACGATTTCGTCTTACTACAGGAGCAGGTGGAATGGGCTGTTGAGGAGGGAGCTGACTACATCATAGCGGAAACAATAAACGATTATGGGGAAGCTAAATTAGCACTAGAAGCAATACAACAGTACGGAAAAGGTAACAGTGAATGTACACCAACCGGACAATAATACAGCTTCAGCTTCCCGAAAAAGGTTAATAAACAACGACATATACACAAAAAGGATCAAATATACCACAGCGTCCCCACACAAAGTTGAACTGTCGCTTTTTCAACGTACATCTGCTTGGTCTTTTGAAATACCTATTCATTAAATTCCAAAGAAATACCTTTTTTTTTAAATATAAAATGAAGGTTTTAAAAACCAATTCTTGGTTTAACCTTAGGTTTGGAATCCATAATAACAAAATGCATGCTTTGTAGGGTGACAGTTCACGGTTCTGCTATTACACTTGTCGGTATGTGTTAGTCATATCGTTGTGGAGGTATGTGACTTGACAGAAGGGGGTTATTTATTGTAGGTACACATTACAGATAATTTAACTCCTGATATTAAACAAAACCAATTCCTTCCACTATTTTCCAGGCCTCCCGGCCGTGATAACTATTGTGTGCTACAATCCCGACAAGACGCTGGATGATGTACCTATAGCAGAGGCGTGTCTCAAACTGGAAGAAGCCGGGGCGGCCGTGGTGGGCCTTAACTGTGGGCGTGGTCCCAGAACAATGGTACCAGTTATCAGGGAGATTAGGAAAGTATGCAAGGTAACTAGTTACACACCACGCAAATCATACTTCCACAAGAAACATCGTCATTATTCAAAAAGTGTGAACCAATACCAAAAGCTCAACTTCCATACATTGCATTAGCAATTACTATCAAACTATTTTTCCACAGGGTCCAATTGCCGCCCTCCCTGTTACTTTCAGAACTACTGAAGAAAGTCGCACGTGGACTTCGCTAAAGGATCCGGACACCGGTATGTTTCTAGTTCAAACAAACACAGGTACTCTCAGTGTTCTGTCCGGATATGACTTGGTTCCCTGGTTCCCTAGTTCTACTCTCAGTGTTCTGTACGGATATGACTTGGGTCCCTGGTTCTACTCTCAGGGTTCTGTCCGGATATGACTTGGCTCCCTGGCTCTACTCTCAGTGTTCTGTCTGGATATGACTTGGTTCCCTGTTTCTACTCTCAGTGTTCTGTCTGGATATGACTTGGTTCCCTGTTTCTACTCTCAGTGTTCTGTACGGATATGACTTGGTTCCCTGGTTCCCTGGTTCTACTCTCAGTGGTCTGTCCGGATATGACTTGGCTCCCTGGCTCTACTCTCAGTGTTCTGTACGGATATGACTTGGTTCCCTGTTTCTACTCTCAGTGTTCTGTCCGGATTTGACTTGGTTCCCTGGTTCTTCTCTCAGTGTTCTGTCCGGATCTGACTTGGTTCCCTGGGTCTCCTCTCAGTGTTCCGATCGGCTATGACTTCGTTCCTTGGTTCCCTGGTTCTACTCTCAGTGGTCTGTCCGGATATGACTTGGTTACCTGGGTCTACTCTCAGTGTTCTGGCCTGATATGACTTGGTTCCCTGTTTCTACTCTCAGTGTTCTGTCCCGATATGACTTGGCTCCCTGGCTCTACTCTCAGTGTTCTGTCCGGATATGACTTGGTTCCCTGGGTCTACCTGGACGTCAGTAGGTTGCATTGTTTGGTCAGTAATCGAATAGTTTAACTGGTTCGATCGAGAATCAGGTATGCTCCTTGCTCCTATTCATCCGGTTACCTGTCTGTTACCTATTTTGAACCAAAAACAAATAGCTTTAGATGTTTGCTTATTAAGACGATACTTGTTGGGTGTTGCTTTGTATGTAAAACTATAACAGAACGACATGTATACAGTCATTAACGTGGCATCATTAAGGATAGCGATGCAGTGATATATGCTGATAATTGATGTACATTTGTACCTATCTTTTTGTAGGTAAGCACGCCTGGCCGTCCAACGTATCATGTGTAACGTGTACTCGAGATGACATCAGATTATTTGCGGAGGAGGCGAAGAACATCGGTGTAAATTACGTTGGGTTGTGCTGTGGAAATGCTCCTTTCTTTTTCCGAGAGGTGGCGGAAGTGTTTGGGCGGAAACCGGGAGCCTGTAAATATTCACCGGATCTTTCATTAAGTGTTCTTGCTGGGGATAGTAAAGACAGTTATTCGAAGTTAAGGGAATATGCTGGAACTGGCAAGAAATGAGTATTCATGAACGTTTAGAACGGACACGTATACAAATAACATTAAGGAATGATAATGTTGAATTTGAGAACGTGATTATCTGAATTGTATTTCACACCAGTTTAGTATTTTACCTATGACACTTATAAGGTATGTATACTGTAATTGTATGATACTAACATCTCATGTAAATGTCTCAGGATAACAAAGGTAATTATAATTTAAAACTGGTTTTATGCATATGTTACATTTGTAATGCAAATGAATAGGGTCGTTTCTATTTGCTATGGACACTAGGACCGGATACGTTGCGATGTCTATCACCACAATCAGTTCTGGCTCGGTGTGTTTATAGATGGTATGATTGTATCATACAGCACACTAAGCAATATACATATCACCGTATAATTCAGCTTATTTAATACTTAATCCATGAAATAAGTCTACGAAATAATACAGGTCAGTGTGACGGAGCGTTGATGAAGCATCAGTTTTACCATGATAATGATTTTTTTTTATCTCTGTGGTCAAATATATTTTTTCATTACACTTGCATGTATTACTTAAAATTATAGAATATGCATATATATATTCAAATTTCATCACATGTAATAGAAATAAAGTACAGAATTGATAAATATGTTGCACATTTATTCAAACTGAAGTCATAACGGTAAGTTATTAGAATTCTAAAGTAGACTTGGTACTCTACCCTGTAACGACCGGCAGGCGTGTTTAAGGGACTACCTGCTTAGATAGACAAATTTCACCAGTATTACGTTCAAATCGAGGTCACATACTCAGGTAATCTGAGAATTTCCTCAAAAACATAATTAAGAGTATCTATGATATTATACTAAAGCAAAACATATTGTACTGTGTTATCCAGTGAATATACCCATGTCATATTTGTTTACGTATTAACCCATGTAATATGACCTATCAGCCCTGTGATTGGTTGTAAGTTTCAATTGTTTCAATTGTGACGTCACACCTAGGACAAGTACATGACGTCACAAACTTACGCACTGGAGTCAAAATTGCGGCCTTTTAAGGTTGCATGAAAATAGTCGTTTTACACGAATAAATGCCACAAATCTTGATTACGTGATAAAAAGGATCTTACACTTGTTTTCATTTTGATATGAAATTCATGAAACTCGTCACGAATTTTTCATTTAAGCTCGCTAAAGGCTCGCTAAATTGAAAATTCTAAGACTCGCTTCATAAATCTCATATGAAATGGAAACTCATGTAAGATCCTATATTTATAATAATACTGGGCACGTGTTCCACATAATGTTTGNACCTAGGACAAGTACATGCCTTACTATTCTTTATTTGACTTTAATGTGGTGTTGTTATTTATTTCATAGTGCGATTTGTGTGAATAAATAATTAACACAAAAAAAGGAAAATTTGTTTTATCTAATAGTTACTTTCCTTAGACCGTTTTAATTCCTCGAAATAATTTAAATAATTTCACATTTCAAAGCAGTTCAGTCTTTAAATATTTTCCTAATCTTGTTTGTATCAATTAAAATATATTCCTTATGTTGTTTGTATCTTTAAATTAAATAATAAAATAGTTTTTTTTTGTCATTATGATTGTCATTAAGCTATTGTTAACAGCTTAAGTTGGTTAATATCCTTGTAACTGTCGTCAATTTCATACAAATTAAAGGCATTCGCCCCTCCGACGCATTGGTTCTATTACGTGTTCCTATTGAAGGAATGAACAGTTACTTCGACATTAATGTAACGACCAGGTCGAGCCTGTGCTGTCCTTCAACACTTTCTTCAAACGACGTCTTCTTCTGAACTGCTGATTGGAATTTTAATCAAATCGTAAAAATGGAGAGACTGTGGGACGAGGCCAATAAAATATTGCTTTAATCGACTTCTTCTCTGTAACTGGTAGATAATTTCAACCATATTTGGTTAGAAGGATTCTCGGCTGGTGGTGATTCAAAATTGTACACAGAGAAAACTTCACCCATAAGGCGACTGATTTCCGAACGGGTTAAGAGGCGGAACTGAATAGATAATTTGGCCATATTGCTTTCAGTGATTATCCTCCGTTATTATGACACTGGGGTCTGGCCTCACCCCTGTGGAGTTATTCCCTGTCACAACTTTGAAGCAGTGTATATCACAATTGTTGTGTATGTTAGGTTCAGATACAGATATGCTACCATGACTGGCCTCTGTGTCACTGTTATGTTTGTGTCCAGACTAACGCTTTCCGGATTAAGTTAATACAAGTAATCGTTTCCGGATTTTGGTTCACACCATTGGTCACGCCTAACAGAAAACACACAACGAAACCCGTCAGAATTCAAGGTGACATTTCTACAGTTCGATAATCCACAAGTGTAAGTGTTAGCTATAAACTGTTTTGATAGATTCTATGTATTTGGAACTCTGATGTAAAGTCGTCGTTTCGTTTAATCCGAAGATAAAATAACCTTTATGTGTTTATTTTCGAAACACTAAATTTCTACCACCGCTTTGTATAGAGGTTTAGGATGTCAAAATGGAAATGTTCAAAATATTCATTTTATGTGATTATGGTGATTTCAGCATATATAGCTACACGTTAATTTAAGATTGTTCTTATTGTAAGGAGATGATATTGTAATACAAATTTGTCTTATCCAAAATGAATTATATTATGGAAATCTGTGCATTTCTTTTCATAATATCAATGTGCACGCGCAATGTTATGAATCTTTGAGTATTTGGTTATAGGGCCTTTGCAACCACCAGCCAATATCTTTCTCAATCCCCTGGGAGCATACAGCCGGTGCTGCCATTTCGGCGCTAACAGCGTTAGCTAGCATTCAACAATTCTAGCACTGCCCAACCACGTACTCATTTACAACTGAGTAGACTGGACCAAGCAGAGTAAAGTATCTTGCTCAAAGATACAACACAGTGCCATGACGTGACTCGAACCCACCACCATTCAGTCACGAGCCCGGCGTCCTACCACTAGACAAAAGTCATGAGTCCAAGTTAAGTCTTGTGCGTGTCATTGCATTGTCTCCCTCCACCTATAGTCACTGGGTAATAACATGGAAACTCTTCATATCCCAACTCTATAACCATATGAAAAATCGCTGAGAAGGAACAGACGTTTGTGCATAGTAAGCAATGACTTAATTCCTGGATCATAACTTTGAAACTGTTGTCATTCTCATGACCATAATATGCAATTGTAGGTCATGAAAATTCTAACACAGATATTAAATCAGGTGTGCCTCAGGATCTACCCAACCCATGGTATCTTACTATATGGATCATAACATGGATAGGGATTAAAACCCCATCACTTAACTAGATGGACACAATCATCCTACCAAAATTGACCTCGAGATCTACCCTCACACTGACGGACTGTATGGAAGTATTTGAGATCCCCTACCTATAACCATTGCTGGGCGAAGATTAAGGTACGCATGTGCTACCAGAAATGGTTCTGTTGTCCGGTCCTATTCCTGGGATCGTATCTGCAATATTACTTGGATTAGTTTAAGTAATTATTATATAACGTGATTATTTGAATATCCAGGTGATCGATACAGGCTCTTTCAATGTTATTAAAAGAAAAGGTTAAGATTTCTCACCGATAACTATCACTATATTGGTGAAAATAAAACGATATTTTGTTTGTATCATATAAATTTGGTTTTGGAATATCTACTAAGACTGAGGTGGCCCAAGCTATCCTAACGCTTTTTTCGTAAAAATTCTCGTGAATTACATCCCAATACCAATGTCACCAATACGCATTGTCATTATGCCTAACGTTCAACTCTCCTCCAAGCGGCAAACCCCTTGTAACGCCTGCTCAGGGAGACTGCTTGATATAGATACCGCACGAGAGTTATTGCTTTGTCCCTACGAATGAGTCTGTGAGAACATTACTTCGGAATCGTGTAGCTGCTCAAATGATCTGAAACTGCTTGAAAGTGGCCCGATTTAGCCCTATCTTGACATCATCGTTATAATTGTATGTATTGTGCTCGTATATCAATAGTTGGGTGTCACGCGGTTTGTTGTTCTGAATGAATAAAGATTCTACTTTTGCTGGAGTGAACACTTTGTAAACTGTTGTGTCGTGGAATGCGGTCGTTTTGATGGCGGTAGAGTGAATGTCTGAGGTGTTATTTGTGGACTTGTTGTAGACTAACCCATGTGAATTGAAATTGTGGGCGTTATCGAGACGAACTTTTGAGGTCATTGGTACTTCCGTTTCCAGAAGGCTAATGTGCTAGCTATTTATTTTTATAAAAGATAACACGCCAGTCCAGACAGTAGTGTCAACAGAGCTTTCTGCCGCAAAAAAAACCCACGTTCAGGTGTTAGATTGGCTGTCATAATCACCAGACAGATCGCTCGTGGCTCAAGTTTTATGATGTCCATAAGTGACGCGCATAAGACGACGCCAGATCTAAAATTATATATAACTTACAGGACTTGCCAAAGATTTGACCGATGGCTGGGACAAAATTCCTTTGTTACGTTTTTTCCTCTACGAACATCGCGGTCAGACATTGTACTTTTTAACTGACTATAATATACTGGTATGTCAGTTTACAGTACAGGACAATCTGATAACAACATATTTTGTTATTTTAACCATTGAAAAAGTTTGGAAGGAAAGGTGGCAGCTTGGGAAGCATAATATGTTATGGTTGGCGAATTGGCCGTGACAGAGTTCGGTTAAATCTAGGGCTACGATCGCGACCATGCTACGATCGCGACTATTAGTCCCATAACAGTAGTAGCGCTCGGCGATAAGAACGATCAGGTCAGGCTATTTATTGACATCCTGAAGTCACATTTATATGATACGGCACACGTCATTCAGGTATAAGCCCCGGGGAATGACCTATCGGTAGTCGTCAACATATTGCCAACATGACATCTAAAGGTAATGTATACACTTTATTGATTATATGTCCCCGGCAGTAACCGACTCGCTGTATGTATTGCAGTATACTGGACAGTTTTAAACAGTCACACAAACTGTACTTATATCTTAAACCAAAAACCGGATATGTGAATTATTTATTATTTGGTTGTCAGCAGAATCACTTTTAAACATATAATTGGTTATTGGATACATAACATTAAGAACTAGATATAACAGTAGAGGGAGCGTCAATTTACTGACCAAGCCGAATCTAAAGATCAAACTTTTAAAAAAAGTACATAAACGATGGAAATCGTATAAAGATGTGGAGAAGTAGGTGTTTAATCCTGTTTTATGTTTGATGTATCAGATGTAGATCAGGATCGGGCTAACTGACTTTATTTTTTTCTGTTTTTTTTCTCTCTTCATTATAGTCAGTAAGCACGAGTCTCCTGATTATCTTATTGTATTCATTATTAGTTATATAGTCACTTAGCCTTAGTCTCCCCTATATCTTCACTTAGCCTTAGTCTCCCCTATATCTTACTGTATTCATTATTAGTTATATAGTCACTTAGCCTTAGTCTCCCCTATATCTTACTGTATTCATTATTAGTTATATAGACAGTTAGCCCGAGCCTCCCCTATATCTTACTGTATTTATTATTAGTTATATAGTCAGTTAGCCCGTGCCTTCCCTATATCTTACTGTATTTATTATTAGTTATATAGTTAGTTAGCCCGAGTCTCCCCTATATCTTACTGTATTCATTATTAGTTATATAGTCGGTTAGCCTGAGTCTCCCCTATATCTTACTGTATTCATTATTAGTTATAAAGTTAGTTAGCCGGAGTCTCCCCTATATCTTACTGTATTTATTATTAGTTATATATTCAGTTAGCCCGAGCCGCCTGAATATCTTACTGTATTCATTATTAGTTATATAGTTAGTTAGCCTGAGTCTCCCCTATATCTTACTGTATTCATTATTAGTTACATAGTCAGTTAGCCCGAGCCTCCTGATTATCTTACCGTATTCATTATTAGTTATATAGTCATTTAGCCCGAGCCTCCCCTATACATTTGTATCTTACTGATTCATTATTAGTTATATAGTCAGTTAGCCCGAGTCTCCCCTATATCTTACTGTATTTATTATTAGTTATATATTCAGTTAGCCCGAGCCGCCTGAATATCTTACTGTATTCATTATTAGTTATATAGTCGGTTAGCCTGAGTCTCCCCTATATCTTACTGTATTTATTATTAGTTATATAGTCAGTTAGCCCTAGTCTCCCCTATATCTTACTGTATTCATTATTAGTTATAGAGTTAGTTAGCCGGAGTCTCCCCTATATCTTACTGTATTTATTATTAGTTATATAGTCAGTTACCCCGAGCCTCCCCTATATCTTACTGTATTCATTATTAGTTATATAGTTAGTTAGCCTGAGTCTCCCCTATATCTTACTGTATTCATTATTAGTTACATAGTCAGTTAGCCCGAGCCTCCTGATTATCTTACTGTATTCATTATTAGTTATATAGTCATTTAGCCCGAGCATTCTCTATATCTTACTGTATTCATTATTAGTTATATAGTCAGTTAGCCCGAGCCTCCTGATTATCTTGCTGTATTTATTTTTAGTTATATAGTCAGTTAGCTTGAGTCTTCCATATATCTTACTGTATTCATTATTAGTTTTGTAGTCAGTTAGGCCAAGTCACTCCTATATCTGACTTTATTCATTATTAGTTATAATGTTTATACTTAGTTAGCCCAAGTCATCCATCGCTTTTTTCGGGTTCACACAACCAAATATTCACTAACAGTGAAAATTGTTTTAGAAAAATACCGGTTGTTTGGGTTTTGTAGGGTATAAACACCACCATATTGTTTTTTTTTACTGATAATGATCCAATATTATTTGATGACAATTTGATAGTCTAAACTTATGATATCTGTGTGTTCGTCATGTTTGCTTCAATAATTACATGATAAATATTTATGATCTCGTGAAAGTCAGTACCTGATGCATCGTCACGCGCGGCGCGGTCCCTAGTGATCACATTCAGTATGGAGTACATAACACTTTGTTTTATTGCTTTATCGTTTGCACGTACCTGTATCATCATGTCAGTATCGGTCTCGTGTGTCAGAGCATGAAATAGACTTTGAAACCTTGAAAGCCACACATTCAGGGAAATGAACATGTACATTGTATGCCAAGTTATATAGTACTGTGTTGTTATTTTGGTTATATTGAAAAACGATTAAGATCTCCAAGTGTTAAATACTGATTCAAAGGGAAGCGATATTCAATTTTAGTGGGAATCTTTCGTTTGAATGCGTTCAATAAATCTATTTAGAAATGCATTATTTTCCCAGCTAAAGAGCCGGATTCTCTATAGCTGAACAAGCGTTTGACAGATTGAACTTACTTCTTCTGTAACTGCATTTTATAGTAGTTCTATATGAAATATATTCTCCAGGTTTATTACAACGACTGAATGATGGTGAGACTATCATTATCGCGGAAGGATATATGTGGGAGCTGGAAAGAAAAGGCTATGTCAAGTTCGGGGAATTCACACCGGAAGTAGTACTGAACAATCCGGAAGTAGTTCGAATGATGCACGAAGAATATGCCCATGCAGGGAGTGACGTTGTCGAAGCGTTTACCGTAACTATAATAAACACGCGTTATGTAGACCTAGTAAAACAGCAATTTAAAAGAACTGCCACACTACTTTTTTTTACATTAAGATAAAATGTCAAATAAAACAGAATCCAATTTATTTGGTAATCCGTTGAACCAGATGTGAGATTATACAATTTGACCGCATTAAAAAGAAAGATATTTTTCTATGTATCAATTACTATTCTTTTTACGAAATGTTGTTTTGTAATTTACTTCAATTTTCACAATAAAACACCACAAATGACAAAACAATAAAAAAAAAATAAAAAAAAAAATACCGGTTATAATACCAGAAAAACTTGATACAAAGTATTTCAAATGTCTTGATCATTTTTAAGGGTCTAGTAATAATTCAACACATATTAGAATATCAGTCATTTGAAATCAGCCAACCGAACTGATAAAATCCTGGCTTTGTAATACAAACTTTCCAAATATATGTTTTAAAATATCTTTCAAATAGTACTTAGGAAACAGGAAGCGACTGAGGGCTATTGGTATTGAGGAAGGACTGGAGGAACTCAATAGGCGGGCCCTCAGAATGGCCCGCAAAGCTGCGGACGCCACAGGGTCCCTTATGGCTGGGGATATCTCACATACATGGTATTACCAGCCGGATGATCCAAAAGCAATGGAGGAGCTACGAGCCATGTTTAAGGTTTTCTGTTGTCTTGTCTTATATCTAGGTTAGGTACTTGTCAATTTCTGGTATCATGTTTTGTCTAATTTTATTAAAGAGTCTAAGCAATCTTCGTTATCTAACGTCATGATATCCCTCACTAATCAGGGCATACTCGGGTAGCACATTGCCATTCCTTGTGACCTTGTTTCTTGTTTAGCCAGAATCATCAACTACCAATAATTGTTAGAAAAATTCTCTACAAAAGCCTGCATAATTTTAACTGATGGAAAACGCCAAAATACAATTTCAATATCTGAATGATCCGGACTACGATCTGGTTTTTGTCTAGGAACAAATAGAATGGGCGGTTGATGAAAAGGCTGACTATATCATCGGGGAAACTTTCCAAGACTTTGGAGAAGCTATGATCGCTTTGGAAATGATTAAGAAATATGGGAACGGTAAGCACACTTTTTTTAAGGAAAACACAAAACACAATTTAACGAAATCTTCACAGAAACAATACAATGTCATTATCTATTTCTTTATATGGAAATATAACTTGTAACTTGTTTAATTTGTTTTGAACCAAGCAATCGGAAACCCGCTAAAACATTGGATAAACCAGTTAGCATGTCTATTTCATGCTACGATTAATCAGACAATGGATTGTCGTGCACTGCAAAAATACAATATCAAAAGTTTGTTAAATAAACCTTAATATGATGGTGGTATACGCACAGGGCTACCGGCCGTTATAACATTGACTGCATACCAACCGGATGTGACGCTAGACGATGTACCTATCCCAGAGGCATGCAAACGACTCGAGGACGCTGGGGCTGACGTGGTTGGTCTGAATTGTGCACGTGGGCCACAGTCTATGATTCCTTTACTGAAAGAGATAAGGAAAGTCTGTAAGGTAAAAATATTACATAACACCGAGATAATAGCAGTTTTGTTGCAATGTTAGTTATTAAAACTGTCCCATCAGCTTCGATCGGCTTTGGATCCTATCTGTTAATAATAGGTCCGTGTGTTTTATTTAATGTCCTGTTCAACTTTATGCTTTAAAAAAATATCCGTCAGAAAGGTAATCCAAGAATGAGGATTTCTAAATAAAACAAAAAGAACAAAATACTTATCATTTTCTTAACGGCCAGTCGCAAGTAAGCTTATATGTTTTTCATATATAATCCTATTTACATAATTTAATTCTGAAAAAAAGCTTTCATTGAATTTGAATATGATTTATGAAGACATCAGTTTTAAATATCATACAATTTTACGGCTCGTCAAAAAGCCGTGATATTCCACACTAGCAATATCTTGCTACAATCTAATTAAAGTATATAAAGGTTTAAATATGGTCTCTGACCTACAAATAATGTCTATGTGACACTTACAGCGACCCTTCTTTTTCTGATAATAATGCCATTATAAAATATTACCAAATGATACATAATTTAAACATAATACCTTCTGTTTCATAGCACGAACTAATTATAACTTCTCCTGTCTCCATCTAATAATGAGTGCATATGAACTAACAATTACATTTAAGGGTCCCCTGGCGGCAATCCCGGTGCCATTCCGCTGTAGAGGAAAGTTTAAAACCTTCCAGTCTCTGTTGGACCCTGATACAGGTACACATGTCGACATTGTTCATTGGTTTTTAGAGAAAATGTCAACAGCTGTAAATATGAAAATGTCAACAGCTGTAAATATGAAAATGTCAACAACTGTAAATATGAAAATGTCAACAACTGTAAATATGAAAATGTCAACAACTGTAAATATGAAAATGTCAACTTATGTATTGTATGTAAACATGTAGGTTTTGTCCAAACGTTGTCAGTGAAAATGTCAACTTTGTACAAGGTTAAGGATATTAACAGTGGATATCGTCGATGAAGCAAGATGCTTAAATATACCATTACAGAACAGCTAGCTTCATAGCCCTGGTATTACTGCAAGGGTATTTACCGTAAAGACTCCCTCTGTTCATATCAACATTGGACACTTACATATTTAAATATTGTACACACTTTTAACATAGTACACATTTTGTAAGAAAATTTGCTAATATTTCCAAATTTTGTAAGTTAAGTTGTCAATATAGTATAAACGTTGTAAGTTAAAGATATCAACATTTTAAAAAAATGAATTGGTAATGTCAACTTTGTATAAGCTTTGTATGTAAAACAGCAACACTGTATAAATGGTGTAACAACATGTTCATACCAAGGATTCCATTTGCACGAAGCAATATTCCCTTAATCGGTCAGTGCAAGCAAGAAATAAACGTTCTTGAAAACACAAATTTAGTTTTCCATAAACCGTCATAGGTAGATCTTATGTAAATGGTCGATTAAATCGTCGTTCCATAATGGTTATTAACATCTAACTGGTTCCCCGTCTTGCTGAATGATGTCGTTGGTTGTTATAAAGCTCCAATAACGAGTAATGACTTGATATAACGTATATCTGTCTTTTGTTAGTTATTGACATCGTTAGCCATAAAGAGGTTCCACTAAGTATTTTGTACTTTGGTATTACAGGTAATCAGAAGATAAGGCAATAGCCATATCTCGCCCCTTGTTTAATATAAGTGCATAAAGATGAAAACACGGTGTTGTGTTGGTGAAATCACCTGTAATGATCGAAATAGTTCGTAGTAACTACATTAGCAGACAGTTGGACGATTGGGCAGTATATGCTTACCTATTTCGCTCCTTGTTCAATATGTGTAAGCGTTTGTTCGACTGCCTATCAAATCTCGCAATGCACACGTATTAGTTTTCAAATATAGTTTGAGTACAAGCAAAGCCCATTGTCATTTATAAGGATTAAAATAAACACGTAGTCCGTTATACTTATTTCTAATACTATCTGATAGACATGTATGCTAATGTAGCATGCCATCAGGATCAATCAGTACGACAAACATTCAAATGAAAACGATTTAAAAGTAGACTGAGAGTAGCCATGCCTTGGTTGTCAGTATGCAGAACACGTATCGTATATGTCAGTCTTGTTTGATAGGGAGGTGAGTACTGACTAGTTATCATGTTTTTATAACTATGGTCAATTTCGTAAATTTCTACTACAATAAAACACGAGATTTACAAATTTTAAAATTTTAAAACTAGAATCAAAGAAGCAATACATCCGACCGTAACGGGCTTTGGAACCTTTTTATTTAAGAATGTCTATAGTATGTTCGGAAAACAATATTTGATACGTGATTCCAATTTCTGACCGAAAAGAAATATCCACGAATGATGACGTCAAAATGAAAAAAAAAGATTTTAAACATTTCGTCGCAAAGCATTGTGACATCATTTTTAATCTATGAGAACGCTTGCAGTCTTAATCTATGGGAACGCTTGCAGTGTTGTAAGCACATGATTAATAGCAAACATGTTCATCACTCTAACTGCTATTTATTACACGGGCTGAAAGTGGTGGAACACACAAACGCCATGGTATAATACGTTAATAGACTACATCACTCCCGATCTCGTAGTATATAATTTACATCCGAGACGTAGAATCTCATCCTGATCGGTTGTGATTTAAATCCATATGCATGTCGGTTAATTATTAAAACAACCAGTATTACCAGCGATCTTCTTGGGCATTAACTGACTCGAATATGCATGCAGGTACATGTATAGCAAAAGCATCTCACATTGGATATCCTACATGTGTTTTGGATTCATAGCGTAAGCCGAGGGCCTTTAGCCGTACTCGACATAAAGCTAAAACGTTGAGGTAATTTCCCGGCAAAGTTACTGTGCAAAGAACTGTGTGCATTTGACAATATTATAAATTAATCTGTGATACTTGGTGCACGTCAACTTTTGAAGAAAGCTTATTGACTGTTTGGTTGGTTTGTTAACCAGGGGACCGTCTATATCCAGACAACCTGTCGGCCCAGCTTTGTACTCGCCGGGAGGTCCGCGAATTCGCGCAGGAGGCCAAGGCTCTGGGTGTGCAGTACATAGGGCTGTGCTGTGGTAATTCGCCTGCATTCCTCCGCGAGGTGACAGATGTGTTTGGCAGAACAACAGGCGCTAGTAAATATAGTCCCGACTTCACCAACAGCTTATCAAGGTCCACAGATCCGAAGAACAAGAAAATACAATCGTACATGTTCGATGTGGTGGACTAACACCTGTAATAAAATAGCACTCATTCAAGGAACAGTAACTGTATTAAAACAATCGTAGTCTTCTGGTTATAAATAATATTGAAAATGTGTATGCAAGGTAGTTAGTAAGAATCGACAGTTTATATATAACTTTCATATATATTTTATATAATATGTATACAAGTTAGTTAGTAAGGATCGACAATTTATGTATAACTTTCATGTATATATTATAATGTGTATACAAGGTAGTTAGTAAGGATCGACAATTTTTATTTACCTTTCATATATATGTTATATAATGTGTATACAAGGTAGTTAGTAAGGATCGACAATTTATATATAACTTTCATATATATATTATAATGTGCAACAAGGTAGTTAGTAAGGATCGACAATTTATATATAACTTTCATATATATATTATATAATGTGTATACAAGGTAGTTAGTAAGGATCGACAATTTTTATATGCCTTTCACATATATATTATATAATGTGTATGCAAGGTAGTTAGTAAGGATCGACAATTTATATATAACTTTCATATATATATTATATAATATGTAAACAAGTTAGTTAGTAAGGATCGACAATTTATATATAACTTTCATATATATATTATATAATGTGTATCACTGATATCAGGCAGTTATAGCAAACAGTGTTCGATACTTGTCGCAATAAAGTTCCTTTAATTATTCTATTTGTTTGTTTGATTTTGCTTGGCCTGCAGACCCAGCTGATCATGGACCATTTGTATAACTGGATTTGATCGCAAGAAATCATGATGACAATTGAAGTCAAATATCTACATGTACCTTAAAAACTAAACAGTTCCGATAAACAAACCTTTAAAAAAATACAAATGAAAATATATCAGTGCAATGCATGTGCTGAAGACATCCCTGAAACAAACATTTAATCAAATATTAAGATCGCAAATCAATTATAAGCACAGCAAATAAGTGTAGAATTTAACATGAGCAATGTTTCACACACCGCCTAAACAGAAAAGTTTTTATTAGCCAAATAAATCGTAAACCTAACACTATGTAATTGTTATTTTATATCCAGTCAAACTGCAGGTACCCAGTCGTCATTTAGTCGATAGAATTACGTTTTTTTCAAATCAATCGTTTTTATCTTGAAATTTGACGTCAGACATTCACATGTGATTACACATTGGTAATGCCAAAAACGAACTACTCTGAACTATACAATTTCTGAACTCATCAGCGATGATAGGGGCCAAAAGGTGGCAATCTAAAAAGGTCTAAAGTACTGTCGAAATAGAAAGGGTTAGTTTCAAATTGAAGCGTATATATTATTAAACCTGCCACTACACAGAAGAGATAACTGTGGCATACAATGTCACAGGAAACCTCGGGGACTAAGAAAATCCACTAGCAGAGTCTACCACCTTGTCTTTTAAAAGAGGAACCTATGGGACTGAACCTTCAAAATTAGGTAATAGAGACATCATGCCAAAAACAATAAATACTTCACCTTAAAGCTCCTTCGTCCTCCTAGGACTTATCGATGATGCTACGGATTGAAAAGCTGGAAATGCAAACTGGTCTTAACTACTATTGGAACAGAAGGAGAGGTGCGTTAAACCTTCAATTATCCATTCATTCTTTATTACCTTAAACCTTGCGGTTTATCAGTACAGTGCATATATACAGTGCAAATCAAACATTACAGCTATATACAAACAAAGAATACAACACTCAGACCATACATGCATGATAAAGTTACAGCGATAGAGTAGAGAGTGATTCCTTTCACCTTAAACAGTATTGAATCTCCTTTTTTTGACCTTGGTTAAGATATTTGGCTAAATTAGACAGTTCTTTATTATTTCTTGTTGTCATCAAATCTAAAAATGTTGCCATACTACTTTTTTATGATAATGTTTTTTAATGAATCGGTTTCTTAAATCAGTATAATGACTACATCTAATAATAAAATGATATTCGTCTTCAATATCGCCAGTGTTACAATATATACAAATTCTATCTTTTCTTTCTAAACCATTAAATCTACCAGTTTCAAAATTCAACGTATGGGATGACAACCGAATTTTAGCAATTTGTTTTATATTTTGTTAACCAATAGGTTTTATTTAATACCGTTTAAGACAAAAGAATACCACAGATCCATTTATAAAGAGAACACTTAGCAGATGAATTAATTAAATCTAGATACCCCTGTAGAAAAATGCCATGTATTCTACATTTAATAATGTTCAGAATTTGTCCTTCATTACCCTCTGTTTGCCATAAATATCCTAAACCTAACCTAACAAAATAATTTCTGATGTTATTTGTCCAGTCACTGCCCTTTTTAATCATCTCATCGTAACAAGCCTTTAAAATGCAGTTGTCCGAAGTTCTAAGTTTAAGATAATATTTAAAAATTCCAAATTTTCTAATTATATGTAGAAGTAGTCTCTCTAATTCTTGATAACTCATAACATTAGGTGTGCTTTTCTTAACCCAAAAAATCCGTTTACAAAAATTCAAATGCACTTTTTCAATAAATGGTGCTTTGTGAAAATCCTATAATTCAGCTGGTTTCAATATCGAAATATTTCCTTTTACAAACATTGGATACAGCATTGAGTGCTTTCCTACCTTGTTCTGCTAATTTATCCAGTGTAATGCTGAATTTACCATTGAATTTCATAACAATTCCAATGTTGCTTAAACTACCAACATTTTCTAAAACATTAACATCATAAAATAATTTGTCTACTTCCTTCAACTGACCACCATTTCTAAAAATCATGACCTTAGTTTTTTCGACATTAACAGTTAAATTCCATTTCTTAGTGTATTGTAACAGTGTGTCTAACCTTTTCTGCAATCCCTCTGCCGATTCAGCCATATCATCTGCGTACATTAGAAGAAATAATTTCATAGTTTAGAGTTCTATAGAAGGACATGCATCTCACAATCATTCACACAAAGAGAACATTTAATTGCTGAACATACTTCTCCTTCCTTAATTGGTTTAAACCACAAATTATGTCTGTTAACAAAATCGAAAGCTTTCTTATAATCTATGAAACAACAATAGCTTCTTCTTCTTCTTCTTCTTCTTCTTCTTCTTCTTCTTCTTCTTCTTCTTCTTCTTCTTCTTCTTCTTCTTCTTCTTCTTCTTTAAAGTTCTATCAATTATCGATTGCAGGAAAAACCTGCATCTATGGTTGACATATTTTTTCTGAAATCAAATTGAGTGTCACTTATTTTAGAATAAGCGGTATCAAATTCCATCAGTCGATTCTTAAAGGTTGCTGTACATATTTTGGCTAAACAACTAACTAGAGTAATTCCTCTATAATTATTTGTGTCATTTTTATCCCCCTTTTTAAATAAGGGAATAGTATTACCTATTGACCATATGGAAGGATAGTTACCAGATTTGAAAATTATATTAAATAATTTAACAGGACAAGGTAATAAAACCTCTTTACCTCTGATTAAAACTCATTAATTAATAAGTCATGACCACATGCTTTATCTGTGCTAAAGTTATTGATTACTTTACTAACTTCTTCTTTAGAAATGTCAATGTCCAGTGCATAAAACACAGCATTTGGTATATCCTTAGTGGAGTCATATTTTTTTTAAAAACGTTTACAGCCTTATTTCCACAAGGTTTCATGGCTGACAAATTATTAAAATGTTGATAAAAATCGTGTTAATCAGCTGAGGACTTCACACTATTCTTTCTGTTTTCGAAATATCTATGAAAAGGTTTTGGGTTTTTTTTCTCATGAAGTTCAACATGTTTCCTTGACGTGTTTTGTACTGCCTCTTTAACTTATGTTCCATTTTCTTATAGCTACGTTTTTTACAAACAAGTGCATCATGATTTTTCTTCGTTCTTACCTGAATTGAACACAAATAAGGTAATCTTATACTCTATACAGCGAAGTTTGTAAGTTTCATTGAACCAGGGTTTATCTTCTGTACATTTTTTCTTTTAATTACGTACGGGATGGGTAACAACACTAAAAGGTAAAAACAGTTCTTTCAGAAGATCAGTAATTTTGTTAACGAGTTCATTGATACCAATTCGGCTCACACCATTACTGTCACAACAATTAGATAACTCGTTTTTATTACTATCTAAAATATGACGTAAATATTCTGTATTATTATCATTCCATCTTATACGTGTCAAGTTCTGATTACCAACTTGTTTCTTGACATAATTTATAACATTTGAAATCAATATAACACATATCGGAGAATGGTCTGAGAAAGCATTAAATACCCCACTTTCAAACTTGATAATATCTCCAATAACACTATGAAAAGTTAAAACATAGTCAATAAGACTAGTACCTCTACTATTATAGAAGGTAACAGTGCCATCTTTGTATCTTCCATTAACTATTCTTAAGGTAGGTGTCTTGCACGAGGATAAAAGTTGTCTACCAAACTGATTAATAACTGCGTCTGAATTGAAACATTTAGTTGGTAGAGAATCTGGCACATACGTTACAATATAGGAGATGTAATTGCGGGAAAACTCTGTGATTCTATCATCATTAATATAATAATAATTGTTACCCGTTCTGCTTTTAAAATTTACCAATCACCATTACCTTACCCACATCTTTGAACTGACACACCATTTCTTCTAGACAGTAAAATAGATCATTTTCACTTTTTTTATAATGATAATTTGATATTAAATATATTAAATTATAGTTTATATACAACGATGTAGCCAGCTCCTCTTTTGTTTTAGTCGTTATAATAATATAAGTTGTTTTGTATAGTTTATATCCAACTCATGACGTTCCCTATTCAGTCATGATCATGGCATGGGCTGTTTGGTTACATATGTTAATGAAGGTATGGTAATTAGTAGACGAGAAATTGACCAATCGCAGAGCAGTATTTTGTCCCCTATAGGGGTCTCTTAAATTGGTAGCAGCCCCGTTCATCCGGGGAGGCTGCAGTGAACCACGGTTGTTTATGTGTATTATTCTACGGCTTTCCTATCAATATTCCTTCACGTTTAACAACTAGGGTGCCATACATTGAAGAAGTGTTGTACCAACAACTTTTAAACAGTTTCCTTAATTCTTGAGTCAGTTCAGTATCAATATGGACCAACGGATTCAGCTTAATTCGGTGTGCTAGCGGTCGGACATTCACCGCGCCATTTTGGACTAGGATCAGTAGCCTACGGATTATAAGTGTAGTTTCGTTGGTGATGTGTTTTTCATAAGTGCTACGGAATATGACTTTTTACGTCGGTAAGATACTGTACTTTTAGTTGCCTAGGACAACGCAGGTATACAGTAGTCTTTCATTGGTGCTAAGCGCACATCCAACCGACCCACTCCGTACGACCCGGAACTTCTGGAGAACTGGACGTTGACTCGTCTACAGCAGGAGCTTTCACGCAGAAACATCGTGTTTCGGAAGGGTTCAAAACGAATTGCGCTTGTAAAACTCTTGAGAGATGCGCAAGCTAGGCCCAACGTCAGAGGTGCGCGATCCCACAATGCAACGGTTCAGTGGGATCAAGATGGCGGCAACAACAACTCTGAAAATGCTTAGAACCTAATAGACATGGTCAGTTCGCTGACAGATAGCGTGGCAACTCTCCAGGAGTGCTATCTTCGTCTCGAAAGTCGCTTAGATGAACGCCCTCAGTCA